TACCAAACGAACCATAAAACTAAACCAAATTCATTTTTTTGATTCGATTTTCGAATAACCCATCAATTTGATTTCAAATGCCCAGCCTTATACACAGAATATTAGAACAGAAAAGTGATTATGAACTACCAGAGTCTTAGTTACCCTTTTCTCGCAGAACTCGTAAATTTACTCTTCTAATATACTGCTAGGGATAAATTTATCTTAAAAAGTAAAAATAAATTAGTTTTTTAAATTAAAAATTAAAATAAAACACTCACTATTCAATATTTGATATCCTTAAATATTATTTTTTATTAAAAATATCCTTAACTGACAAATAAATTTATAATGTGTAATAATGTCATATATTAAAAATAAATATTATAATTAATTATTTAAAATATATAAATTAATAACATATCAATTAAATAAACATTATATCTATAACCTTAACATTTAGACGTGTCCTGCCCTAAATTTGGAGTCATGGAAGTTGACACATCCTTGAGTGATAATTGGGGTTCGGGAAATTGACAGCAATCGAAAAATTGTCCAAACTCGATCAAATCTAGACCTAGCAAACAGCTCGGATTAGATGGGTTTAAATTGAGTCATTTTGAATTGTTTGTATTGGAACCGGGTTTGAGGCCCAATGGTTCGCCCTCAAGTCTTAGGGCTTAGGTGAGGCGGTGATGAGAGTTTCGAACTCTACCACCGTTGTGAATTCCACTAAAAAGCGACTTAATGACCACGCGCCCTCATTTGAGGGGGTGGAATGTTTACTGATCTGAGAATCCCAATTGCTAACAACTAACTCATACTAACTTCTTAATCATTACTCTTGTCAAAAAAAAAAAAAAAGAATTGTTTGTATTGAATCATTTCAAATGTCAACTTAAGAAAGTTAACCTATGATTCATCCACATAAATCTCGAATTAAATTAGATGAACTCAACTTTTAAAAAATTAAAATTAAAATTAAAATTTTTTTATATTTTTCTCTATTTTTTTAACAAAATCTAATACTAATTTAGTATTTAGTTAAAAAACTTTATTATTAATTAACTATTTAATTAAAAAACTTATTCAACGTTAATTTTCATTTCATAATTTAATTTTTTCCAATATCAAGAAAAGAAAAGGAAAAGATTAGTGATTATATAAGTGGAACTAAAATATATATCAAATATATAATACTTATACAATATTTAGAATTTATAATTTCATAAAAGTATTAACCTTTATTAAAAGAAAATACATGAAAGATTAGAGTTTAAAAAATAAATCCAATATATATATTAATATCTAGTGCCTATTCAATATTTATAAGAGTATTATACAAAAAATATAGCTCTATTCAATATTTAAAAAGACATTATACAAAAAAAAATATAACCTTATTTAATATTAAAGTTTAAAAGGTAAATCTAAAATATGTCTAACCAAATATAAGATGAAATTGGATCATAATTGATTTTTATTGATTAGGAACAAATTATTAATTAAGAACAAAGTAGCAACTAAATAACAGATTTTGACGTTCTTCATATTTTTATCTTTGTACTTCTAATGGTTATGAGGGTATCTTAACCACTAGGTTTTGATTTTCAGTAGGCATTATTGTTTTCTATTTTTTTTTAATGATCTTTTTTACAATATCATGTAACATAACTCACTATGTGCCATTGAATCTAATTTTTTCGGGAGTGCTTCAAAAGAGAAGGATTAAATAACTTGAGATAAAAAAGGGAACAGCGAGAGTGAAGAAGAGGAAAAGTTGAGAGAAAATGAAATTGATAAGAGATTAGTGTTTAAGTATTTTATTTATTTCTACTTTTATGATTAGGAAATTTGAAATTTAAAATTAATTTTTAAGTAATTTAATAAAAAATGAATAAAAAAAATTCAGGTAATTTCGGATGACCCGACCAACCTATGACCCGACCCACCCATGACCCAACTCATTTGGGTTCGAATAATTTCAGTCTAAATCATTTCAGATTTTGAATTAACACATAGGACCCATAACCCTACCCATAACGAATGGATTGGACTGAATTTTCATATTAAGTCTAATTTTGTCTGGTCTGATCAAATCCATAACTGTTGGATTGGGCTTGACCAGTTTTGAGTTAGGAATTTTTTTTTCTTTTTTAACTAGAATTTAAACTAAGTTGGTTTGATTTTTAATTGCTAGGTCAAGAAATCACAAAATTAGTTACTAGGCTGAGTATAAAATTGAAAATGATGACTTAAAAGCCTTTTTTATAAATTTCTTAATTATTTTTAGATTTTTTCTGGTTTTCTCATTACTTTTTGTCAAATTATTCTTTTATTTGGATAAATTTTATTTTTTTAATGATTGAAATTAATATAATAATTATTAAATTAAAATAATCATAAAAATATAAGAATGATTTTTCAATTACAACTTAAGCCAAAATAAATGGTTATCTTTTTAAAAATTAACCAAAATTGATCAAACCAAACCTTTTAGTTTGGTCGTTGGTTTCTAAAAATTAGTAATAAAAAATTTAATTAACTAATAATTTGATTTCGTTGCAATCAAAATCAAACTATACCAACCCCTAACTATTAAATGGTCTTAAATTGCATTGCCATTGGTAAATAGCCTTGAATTTGGAGCCAACGACGGAAGTGGTCCAGAGGCAATTTCTTTCTAAGTTAAGAGATTACAGGTTCAAGTTATGAGTGTATAGGTGGATTGACTAATGAAATAGGAAAAGGCAAATTTTCAAAAAAAAAAAATGTGATGTGTAAAAATAGATTCATACTCTCTTTATATCTAGTGTTTTTCTAAGGGCACAAGTTAAGATAACTTTTTTTTATCATAAATGTGTATTGAAAATGTAAAAGTTAATATTAAGTTTTATATTGTTACTAAATGAATGAATTTAATTAAATAGTTGATAAATTAAAAATTAATTTTTTTAAATATAAATTTTTAAAAAATATATATTATACTTTTAACTTATGTCTTTAGACAAATTCATATATATATATATGTGTGTGTGTGAAAGTAAAAATTAAAATGTTTTAGTACTTTAAATACTAGAATTTTTTTATAAAATTATTTAAATTTTTTTAATAAATTTTTTAATGTATTATTTTATTAAAAATATTTTAATATTTTCATCATCAATTGAGGCCATCTTAAATTCAAGTACTCATATATCATCTTACTGCACTAAAGAAAATAAAATCTCTTTAATTGCGGGTCCCAAAGACGACTTTGCTGATACTTGCTATGCATGCCTATGCCGACATTTTTGCTCCTTTAATCGCCAGTCTCAACTCGCAAGGACTACTTTTTTTTTTTTTTTTGGTTTCCCGTTCAGTATCCGGGGTTTCGTCCCGATTACTCCAGACTCGATCAGCTGTGGCGCACCAGAATGGTGGATGGATCTCTCAACGAAGGCTACTGCGTATACAAGATTTCAAACTCGAGACCTTACTTAAATTGGAACAAGCAGCTTACCACTTGATCCAATCTCTCGTTAGTAACTCTCAAGGACTACTTTACTAATACTTACTAGGTGAAACCTATATTAAACCTTAAATTTACCTCAAATTTTTACTTAAATTTTAAATTTTTATTAAAATAAATAAATTTATAAATTTGATAAATATAATCATTTAATCTTTTTTTTAATAAACTTAATGTTTTTTATGTAAGTTGTATAAATAAAGTATTAATATATCATTATTTACGTTATCAATATTAATCTTATCTATATAAATAAAATACAAACAAATATTAAATACATCATAAAAAATAATTAAATTATTTAAAATTTTCAAATTTTATTTACTTCAATAATTTAAAATTTTAATAAAAAATTTAAAATAAGTTCAAAGATTTAAAATAGAGTTTCGCGTACTTACCATGCGTGCTTATGCCGATAGGCTCCTCCTCTTAGCCGACCTGAATTAAATCCAACTCGGCCTCGTATGTCGTAACAATGGTTTGGCATGCATGGATATCCATCCGAACAGTGTATTTCTTTGACCACCTGTGGACCCTGAAATAAACTATCAAGATAAACACAAAAAATGCAAGGGACATCGCTGTCTGCAATGAAGTGTTGCAAGTTGCAACCGTGTGCCGATATAAATGTCGCACGTAGATTTAATCTTTGTTAAAGGGCGCGGCAATCTTTTGATGTGTTTTAAAATATAAGTAAAATAACAACATGACTTCTGTTTTTTTAATTTATCGATTATGGGATAAGATATCCATACTTTTTTTATGAGCAATGATATATAATATTAAAATTTGAGATTTAAATTTTGACAAATAATATGATATAAGTTATATGATTAAATGGATTGATATATAATATTATAAATTTCATAAAAATAAAAAGAATTTATAATTAAATAATATAATATTTATATTTTAATATTTTAAATAAATTAATCTATATTATGTCATTAATTTTAAATTTAAATTTTATATAATTTATTTCATTTATTATTATTTAATAACAATAATTTAATTAAATGACTTATTAATTTAAATCAAAATTAAAAAAATTAAACTTTTATCATGTAAAAAAAAAAAGCAGTAATGTTTTCTTGCGAGTTGTAAGGATCGCAAGTGGGCCGGGCCAAACAGGACCCGTCGGTATTGAATTGAATCAGACCTGGCAGGGACCAGGTAACTGTCCTGGATCTACACCTGCCCTGGCCTAAGACCTATACAGAGGGCTAGCTCCAGGTTAGAATGACAAAGACAGGTACTAGGCCGGCGTAAAATTGGTCCCGTACCCAAAAAAAAGCGCATTGCGCACTTCTTTTTTATTAAACTCTGAGTAATTATATTAAATTTTAATTAATTTAAAATTAAATTATGATAAATTTATTTTTTAAAAATAATTTTTAAGTTTTTTTTATTTATAATATTTAAATTTAAAATTTTATTTAAAAAAAATACTCATAAATTATATGTACACATTACATATAATATTAAAATAAAAAATTATAAAATTTAAATTTAAGATTAAAAAAATTTTTCTTTTCTCAAACCAATAAATTATTGTTGCGTATCCCGTACAATACGAAAACAGAACAGTGATTATGAAGTACTATAGTCTCAAGCAACCATTCCCATAAATCACATCCATGTTTCATTCATCGAACCCACTTTGAAAGTTCTGTATCGGTTAGAATTTGATCATGAACCCACGCTGTCTCCTTTCTCTCTTCGGAGTGCACAATTAAAATTTTTGAACTTGATATTAGGGCCTCTCCATTTAACGATTTTTGTTTTGTAACATGATCTTATGTGTGTGTTGAAGGTAATTGCCGAGATGTTTGGAAAGAGATTTGATAATTTGTACATCTATGATTTCTGCTTTTTGTTTCTGCTTTTACATTTGTTAGGATATTAACATTTATCCAATATTAATATGTTTATATTGTTAGAATATTAATATTTATATTAAAATATTAGTAATTGTACTATATTAATATGTACATATTATAATTAATTATATATTTAAATTAATTAATTATATATTTAAAAATATTTTATTCTATATATCTATATATAAGTTTTTTATATATATAACAAAGAAGACAAAATAATAAAGCTTTCTTCAACCATTTCTCCTTCTATTCAATTTCCAACAACATTGCTCAAGAAAATGGGGTTGAGCATGGAACCATATTCGGTGACTGTTAAGGGAGGCAAATGCATCGTTAATCGAAGGGGCGAAGGAGGAAAAGCAGCTGCAATGCTCTTGTGAAGACTGAATATGACCTGACTGCAATGCAAATAGCCAGTTAAAGATTTATGTGAAGACTTCATTTCAAGACTCCTTGTAGTGGCCGAACTTGGCAAATCCGGTCAGTTGATGATGGTCTGGACATACTTAAGCCGGTTGTAGGGGTGGGACTTTTCCACCGAAACTGGCAGTGTATCCGAAACCGCCCTTAACCACAACAAACGGTGCGGCGTGAAACAGGTTTTTGTGGGCTGGACCACTGTTTCGGTTGCTAAGCGAAACCCAGTCGGGTAGGTGGACGGTTTCAGGCCCAAGAAACCGTTAACCGCATGAGTAGGCCGAGTCCACCCGAAATGACCGATTATTTTATTTTATTCTTTCACCATTTTGTGCCAAAAATCGCGTCAATTGGGATTTGGAATTTCTTGATTTTTGCTTTTTGACTTTTCTAAATCTAATTCAAAATATTATGAGTCTGATGTATTAAACTTAAATTTATTATTTTATTAATTATTATTATTATTTGTTTTATTTTAGCCCTTAGATTAGATTCATTTGATTAAAGCTAAAGTTTTAGGTCTATTTAATAATTTAGGGTCTTTTTTTTTTTCCCCCTCTCTTTTCTCTTGTCCCATCTTATTTCACCATCTCTGTTGCTTCTACTTTCTTCTTGCTGACACTACAACCAATCTCCTTTCTCTTCCTTGTTTTATTTTTAATTTTTTTAATTTTTTAATTTTTATTTTCTGTGATTTATTGCTCCCAAGTTCTATTTCAAGGGGATGACAGTAGTATTGGTGTTGAGTATTGAGATTGGATCTAATTCTTACTTCTTTTTCAATTTCTTTTATTTTTATTATTGTTCTGTTGCAACTCCGAGCTTTTCTTTTTCTTGATATGCCATTAAAACTCTCCAGAAACAAAATTGAAGCATCTGTTGATGTTTGAGAGGCAAAAAAGTAGACACTGAAAAATGAGGGAAACTCAATGTTTCGGATAATACCGAAACCGTTTGAGAAAAGCCAAAACCGAAAAATATCCGAAACAGTAAAACCAATATTTTATGGTTTGGTATTTGGTGCTACATATTGCCTGACCGATATTTTGGTTAACCACATAATCAATCTTGGTTCAGACTGAAACCGACCAAATCCCACCCCTAACTAGTTGCTAAGATCAGGAGTGTTAGAAATTGAAAAAGAAGGAGAAATATTTGAAGAAAATTAAGTTTATTACTTTTTTGAATAATACTGTATGTATAATGACTTATATATAGGTATTTATAAAGAGAATATTTTGAGGTATAAAGTATAAAAAGAGAATATTTTAAGATATAAAATATTTACAATAAATATGAATATAATCTAAATTATTGTATTGACATCTTAACATCTCCCCTCAAACTCAAGGTGGTTGTGATGAAACCAGCTTGAGTTTGGAAAGAAGAGTACAAAAGCATCCAGGAAAATAAGCCTTAGTGAAAAGGCTTGCTGGTTGATCAACGGAGCCAATAAAAACCAAATGAATAGTTTCTTGTGTAACATGATGGCGAACAAAGTGACAATCAACCTCAATGTGTTTAGTGCGTTCATGGAAGACATCATTATGAGCAATCTATATGGCACTCTAATTGTCACAATAAAGATTAGTAGCAGGCGGTTGAGAAACACCCATATCTTCTAGTAGCCAATGTAAATTAAGTAACTTTAATGTGGTGTCTCCAAGTGCTTGATATTTAGCCTCTATGCTAGAACGTGATGGAACTGTTTGCTTCTTACTACACCAAGAGATTAAGAAATCACTAAGGAAAAGAAAATATTCAGTGATGGATTTACGATCATTAGAGTCTCCAACCCAATCAACATTAGAGTAAGGACGAAGTTCAAGAGATGAATGAGCAGAAAAGTGAAGTCCATGAAACATGGTACCCTTAATATACCGAATAATGCGAAGTACTGCTGCATAGTGAGTGGAGCGAGACGTAGCCATAAATTGACTAACAACATGAGCTGCATAAGCTATGTTTGGTCGTGTTGTAGTGAGATAAAGCAAACTTCCAACCAACTGTCTGTAGTGAGTAGGGTTAGCTAATGGAGAACCATCCATGGATGTAAGTCGAACATTGGGCTCAAGAGGAGTAGATGTAGTCTTACTATCAGTGACTCCAGCTTTAGATATAAGATCAAAAGCATATTTTGTTTGAGAGAGAAGATAACCATCATCAGAAGAGGTGACCTCAAGGCCCAAGAAATAGCTCAAAACACCAAGATCTTTCTTCTCAACTTATGATTGAGAAATTGCTTAAGATCATGAATACCTGAAATATCATCCCTAGTAATGATCATATCATCAACATAAAGAAGTAGTAGAACCATACCATGATCAGTCTTGCGTATGAACAGTGCAGTATCATGAGGACTAGAAGTAAAACCAAATTCACTAATGGTGGTACTAAACTTCACAAACTAGGCTTGAGGTGCTTGTTTCAAACCATATAGAACTTGTTTCAATCGGCAAACTTTGTTTGGAGGATGCTCAAGTCTAAGAGGTGGTTTCATGTAAACTTCCTCTACAAGATCACCATTTAGAAAGGCATTCTTCACATCCGTTTGAAACAATTTCCATCTTTTTGTAGCAGCAATAACAATCAAACTACGAATTGAAGTAGGACGAGCAACAGGTGCAAAGGTTTCCTTATAATCAATCCCATATTCCTGAGTAAATCCTTTAGCAACCAAACGAGCCTTGTAACGCTCCACGGAACCATTAGATCGAGTTTTGATCTTGTATACCCATTTACAACCTACTAGAGGCTTTCCAGCAGGAAGATCAACCAAATCCCATGTACAAGTTTTGTCAAGAGCTTGTGATTCATCTTGCATAGCTTGCTGCTAAAGAGGCTTAGAAGAGGCTTCTTGGTAGGATTAAGGCTCATGTAAAGAGGTAATAATAGGAAAGCAATGATAATCACGAAGATAGCTAGGAGGATTTCTTACCCGAGTAGGATGTTTAGAAGGTGGATTAAGGATCTCATTTTCAAGCTCAAGATCAACAGGGTTAGATCCAATAGTTGATACAGAAGCGATAAGGGAAGAAGACTCAGCATTGTCTAATACATTACCAGTAGCAGGCAGAACATCTTCGATAGAACTAGGTGGAGCATGTGGAGAGGCATCATGGAGCTAATCAAATGTATCTACATTAGAGTCACTAGGAAATAGCTCAATAGAAGGGTTAGTAAAAAGTGGAGGTTGATCAAAAGATGACACTTGGAAGTTTGATAATGAGAAAAACATATTGTGTTCCCAAAGACCACATGACATGAGACTCGATGTTTTTGTGACACAGGATCCCAACAATGATATCCTTTATGTGTAATTCCATAACCCAACAAGCAATATAATTGAGCTTTAGGCTCTAACTTATTATGTTCATGAGGTGGATGAAGAACAAAATAAGCACAACCAAAAACCTTAAGAAGATCATAGGCAGGAGGAATACCATGTAAACATTCGTATGGAGACCTATTATTGATGATCGATGATGGAATCCGATTAATGAGATAAACAGCTGTAAGAGCAGTTTCACCCCAAAATCGTTCTGGACAAGAAGATGAAATGAGCAAAGCACAAACATAATCAAGTATGTGTCTGTGTTTACGTTTAGCTTGCCCATTTTGTTCAGAAGTTTAAGGACAAGTTTGTTGTGCCAGTGTGCCCTATTCTTTCAAAAAGGATTGAAGTTTAGTACTAAGATATTTTGTGGCATTGTCAGTTCTCAAAACTTTGATAATTTTAGAGAATTGGGTTTTGACTATGGTAGCAAAATCAGTATAAATTTGTAACAACTCAGAGCGATTTTTCATAAGATATATCTAGGTGAAACGAGTATGATCATCAATAAATAACACAAAATACTTGGAACCCCCCATGGTAGGTGTCGGAGATGGACCCCAAATATCAAAATGCACGAGATCAAAAGAAGTAGCAGAAAGAGAATGACTACTAGTAAATGATAAAGCTGGTTGTTTTGCAAATTGACATGACATACAATGCAAAGATTCATTCGGAACAGATCCTAATAAACCACAAGAAATAAGAGGACGGAGTTTATCGACTGAGGTGTGTCTGATCCATGAGTGCCATGAGTGAAGAGGAGAAATATTAGTAGCAACACAGGCTTGGAAGATTTGTTGATATGGTATTTGCAAAGAATCTAATTCAGCAGCACAAAGTAGGGTTTGGATGAATTGGTCATTTGGAAATGATGGTGTATCCATTTTATGGTTAGGTATATACAGATAAATGAGCTCAAACAGACGCTCCACCTTGCGACCAATTCCAAAAAATTGGCCCGTCAATGGATCCTGCACATAACAACCATGAGTAGAAAAAGTTATTTCAAGACCAAGATCACATAACTGATCAATAGATAAGAGATTATAACTAAGTTTTGGAACTAAGAAAGCGTTTGGTAAAGTCAATGAGTTTGTAGAAATATTGTCGATGTGACTAACATTCATAGGGAAGCCATCAACATAATAAATGTTAGGAAAGGAATTATTTGGTGACATTAAAGAAAAATAAGCAATAGTTGAAGACATGTGATTACAACAACTAGAATCAAAATACCAAGGTTTAGTACTTATCGCAACAAATAAGGTAGTAGGAGCATTAAGAAGATTTAATATCACCTGTTTTAAAGATTCAGGGTTGACAATGGGTTGGTCTATCATCTCTTTGGCAGCCATTGCAGTAGCAAGATGAGTCACAGTTCTTTCAAAACTCGCCATAGAATCAGTAGAATTCAAAATACTGAAAAAGTCTCTAAAAGTATGAAGAAATATATGCCAAGATCGAAATTACAACTCAATAAGATACCTCAATAAAGGTGTGAGAATTGAGAATAAACAATCCAATCTGTAGGAGAAGAGAACCCGACGACAAAGTTTCAGATCTGGAATAAATCTGAAAATCCAACTCAATAACCAAACAGTAATAAAAGAAGAACCAGGAGCTTATAGCTTTGATACCATGTTAAAAATTGAAAAAGAAGGAGAAATATTTGAAGAAAAGTTTATTACTTTATTGAATGATACTGTATGTACAATGACTTATATATAGGTGTTTACAAAGAGAATATTTTGAAATATAAAGTATATAAATAGAATATTCTAAAATATAAAATATTTACAATAAATATGAATATAATCTAAATTATTATGTTCACATCTTGTGCCAAGAAATTTTGGAGTCAAGTGTTTCGTTTTAGCATTTAACTTGGGGCAATAAAAGAGCCAACCTCGAGGTTGAAACCATGTGCAATATTGAGCTCGAGTGTCAATCCAGTTTAAAGGTATCGAGCTCGAACCCGAACTCCATCGAGTTCAAGTTCCTAGACTAGCTTTAAGAAAAAATATGAAGAGAAAAGTAAAAATTAAAATATTTTAACATTTTAAATGTTAAGATTTTTTAAGAAATCATTTCAATGTCTTTAATACTTTTTTTTATATATTGATAA